ATATATTAAAGACTTTGACATTTTAGGAATTTAAAGTACTTTTAAAGTTTTTTTTTTTTTGTAACAACAGTTTATACATCCAGCAGTTAACAAGTTGAATAGTTTAGTGTGCTGTATTTATAGAAATGTAATACACCAGTACAACTTGGATCAGGAAAGGACTAAAAATCTCATTGCCATTCTTTTTCTTCTAGAGAACACAATTGTTGAAGTTGAATGTTCCAGCCACTTTTATGTTGGTGGCTTTGGATGAGGGTCCTGGCCCACCCATTAGATATCAATATGCTGAACTTGGTAAACTACATCAAGTAGTCAGTATTTTAGTTCGATGTTGTGATGTATCCTGTAAAACCCAGTCGTCTGTGCAGGTAAGCCTAAAGGCAGCTGTATAAAGTTAGCTTCCCACTTATGCCTATGTAGGAAATACTTAAAGCTTTCATGTTAATTTGTCAAGATACTAGAATCTTTTAATTTTTATACCAGCATCACTTTGTATACTTGATCTGAACTTCACCATCCATAATTGCAGAAATAGTAGTCTAACAACTCAGAAGGTTTGTGTGTATCACTGAAATTCCCCACATTTGTCTGAACTTATTACTGGTTTGTTTACAATTAGAAACAGGTGCAATATTTTTATTATGTTGTTTATAAGTTATAATCTGCCACTAACAGGAATATTGATTAGTACAGCGTAGTACTACCTGTTTTTGGCTTATATATTTTAATTTTTTTAAATAACAAACTTATTATATTTTGAAAAAAATCATAAAGAGAGCTAGTTAGGACTCAAGAAATAATCAATTGAAACAGTAAAGTTGTAACTTCATTGTTTAAAAATGTATTAAAGTTATTAACCCTATCGCCACAGGTATCCTTTACTGCGCATGACACAAGGTTTTAGTGTCTTACATTAAAAATTTTATTAAACTAATTTTTGTTTATGTTATACCAATTAGAATAGCATAAAATCTTAGCTAATAATCCGTATTTTAATATTATACTAGTTTTAAGTGCTTAATTCTTTAAGGTAATATTTAAAAACATCCTGAATTTCCCTTAGTGTGCAAAGTTAGTAGTATGAAATCTATAAAGACTATACGAGTACAAAAAAGTCACGTGGTCGGACAAATTGACCAAGTCCACGTGGAGAGAGTTAAGTATTAGTATAAATTAGGATTTTTTTTTTTTAGAGAATTATTTCTTATAGGTAAGTTTATATTTCAATATCTGTGGGAATCAAACTTACCATTTAATAAGGTTTATTACAAATGAGTTTTTATTTCACTCATCCAAGGGATGGGTACTCCAGTTAGGCTCTTATAAAGAAATGTCAGTGTACAAACATTCAACATCAAAACGTGCTCAGTAGACATTCTTATTAAACTGTAAATTTTTTATTTTATTAGAAAATTCAAAACTATCTTTAATGGTGTATTCGGTAGAAGTATAACTTTCCAAACATTTAAACCAAAAACCAGCTAGTTCATGATGATATATGGATGACTGTCTGGAAGCCTTATTTTTAAACATTGTTCTTATGAAATTAAATTATCTTTTTTTTTTCAACTTTTAAGATAATTCCGTAGTTCTGTTTCTCTAGTATTTGTAGGGTCCGTCTTGAATATGTAAAACATTGTACTGGCATTTATGATATTAATTTTAGAACCATAAATATTTTACTCATCATTATTTTGCTTAGGTTTCTTTTTCCTATCAAATTTTCATATATATACTGAGATTATATGATTATAATATTCATGTGATAATCTTCTTATTTAAAATTCCACAATTAAATCTAAACTTACTTTCTAAAAACTTACTCTGAGGAATTAAATACCATATTATTGGGATTATTAATGAAAGTATTATTTTATTGTTTTAATAATATAGAAAACAATACTGTTAAAGGCATTTGGATAAACTTAAAAAACAACGGTTTAATATCACACTTGTGTTTTTAAGTATAAAAAGGCATTTTCAGAAGTTAACTTATACTTCTATATTATTTGAAAATCTAATCGTCTTTTAGTACCATGATACTGTCTAGAAAGTTTTTTATTGTTACTTTAAAATCAACAAATTTAGATATAGCATAATACAATTGTACGATCCTTCATGAAGTTCTGATGTAATTGATTTTCATATTTTTAGTGCAATCTTTCAGTTTTTCTAAAATATGATTGCAAATTATTATCATATTTATCTTTAAGTTATATATATCAATACACTCATGACTAGGAAGTCTTAGTTCGGTAATAAATCTTATGAATACAATAGATAATGTACCATATTTAATTTATGAAATAACTTTGATGTTACAGTTATTAATAAGTATTACTCAATGAACTCAACCTCAGAATATTAAGTTCCAAACCCCCTTTATTTAAGTTTGTGTATAAATTTAGACATACAAATACAGTACATGAACCAGGGATGCCAAAAGATTTATCCACATTCTGCAATAACAAAGGAAGCCAGTTAGAATTCCTAAGTAATAAAAAAAAAAAAAAGCATGAACATATAAGGTGTTTAACATATTCCAAATTTATACTTTGACAAAAACTTATAATTGAGTAACCCATAATGGATAATTAAATGTATATAATCACGCTGCTTGTGAATGTGATACTATAGTATATCAGAGTATGTTTAGAATTCTGTCCTGAGGACACAAAAAGAGTTTCAGTATATATATCTTGTTGATCAACAGGTTAGAAACCAAAGCTGAATAAGGTGAGTTTAGTTACAAGATTTGTACTAATGATAAAAAGAAAATATTTTTAGATTATAAATAGTTAAAGTGTACCCCTCATATATATATATTTACTTATTTTTCTGTCTGGGTTTGTAAACAATTTACTGGTCAAGAATTATTATAAAAATATATCTTAATACTTTTAGGAGAATCAACCACTCCCTAATCCCCATGCTGGTGACCAGGTCTGTACTAACTATATAATGCCAATACAGCCTCAAGTAGCTGATATTCTTTATAATAAGACTAGGTGAGTATTAGTGATTGTAATAATTCAGTTTTATAGTACTGTTCATACAAGAATACTGTATGTCTGTATCAGTCATACTATCATTCTGTATTTATTTCTTACAATGTGTAGTTTTAGCCACAGTTTTTGTATACATACCATTTGGTTATGTGGGAGTGAAATGAAATGACGTTTGTTCCTGATTCTTTGTCAACGTTACCAGCATTTAGTGTTCTCAATTATTTTAAATTAAGCTTCTTCTTTTTTTGAAAAACTATAGTTGGCTATTTATAAATTTAGAATAATGTAAATACTTTATAGCACCAACATTAACCGGTGTAAATAAATAGTCATTGTTTGTGAACTAGTGATCTGCATCCAGTTAACAATTCTTTTAGTTTTTATAAATATTCAACAAAAAATCTGTAAATCGTAAAGGAATTTTAACAATGAAACAATATCTAGAATAATGAGAAATAATGTGAAGTTGAAAAAAAAGAAACATGTAACTCAAGCTTTAACACCACTTCAGCAGTTGGCTGAGGCTTTAGTCCCCATTTCTTAATAGTTTACTTATATTTTTTGGTATTTTAGATTTTCCAAGGCTTCTTTAGTATGCATGTATAATTCTGTTTACCAAGGTTGCCGAGTCCTTTATTTTAAAAAATTATACTGATTGAAGTAGTTGACTTCCTTCTATAAATCATACAAACGTGACAAGACTAAAAAAGATTTAATGTTGACCAGTGACCTCAGTTTTGAAATGGCATGATTGTTAACATTATAGTGTCATATCATATTTTAATAATATAATTTTTTATTCCTTATCAATTTATAATCATAGTTATGGTTTGTTTTTTATAAATAAGAAACTATGTTGTTTGAACACACAAAACTTAATATGTCTATTCACTAAGAAAAGGATTCTGTTGTCTGAGTAGTTTGTAATCGTAAATATAGATTACTGTATTTGCTAATGTACTATTAAATTTTAGATCTATGTTTATAATAAATGTACTGGAAAGCAGCTGGTATTAAAAACTATGATTATTGTTGGTCTGAATATTCATAATCATGCCTAGATTAGCAACTGGTGAAAAGAGTGCCAGTGGTCCTTGATGATCTCTGGTTAAATATGCTAAAATCATTGACATTTTGCTAGCCCTGTTTGTGCAATCTCTGTAAGTAATACTTGTGTTGTTGGAGAAATCTTCCTCACATTTTGAAAATAAGTTTGAGTTGTCAGGAGAACTTGAAAAATTAATTTCAGTGTAAAAATACAAACTCTGTATTTTACCTGTTGGAAAGTCTGTCTGAGCTAATATTAACCTCAGATGTTTCAGGAATGTTTGAATGACATTTCTGTGGACATTGTACTTGAACTTTTAATATGTATTTTGTAATTTATACAAAAAGTCTTATTTTAAATCTCCTCAGCTATGTGAAAAAACTGATTGAGGACTCAAGTGTTTCAGAAGATACAGCCAAACTAATAAAGGTGAGTTGGTTCAGAAGAAAGTTATCTGTAAAACTGTATAACAGCTTTTCAAAGTAGAAAAGATTCATTTATCTGTTATGTATCTGAGCTCTAGGCAGTCATGAGAGTTGGGAGATTACTTAACTGAGGCCCGGCATGGCCAGGTGGTTAGGACGCTCGACTCGCGGGTTCGCATCCCCGTCCCACCAAACATGCTCGCCCTTTCAGCCGTGGGGGCATTATAATGTGACGGTCAATCCCACTATTAGTTGCTAAAAGAGTAGCCCAAGAGTTGGCGGTGGGTAGTAATGACTAGCTGCCTTCCCTCTAGTCTTACACTGCTAAATAAGGGATGGCTAGTGCAGATAGCCCTTGTGAAGCTTTGTGCGAAATTCAAAAAACAAACAAACAAACTTAACTGAGGTTAGATATAAAATTATGAGATTTAGCTGTCCTTTGCTAATCAACTGTAAGTTTATAATTTTCTTTTTTTTACTTAAATTTGCTTGTGTGTACATTTTTAGTTAAGGATTTTCCTATTTTTAGAAAGAAATTTTCCATAAAAATTATTGACCTGTAATTAGACCTTGTTCTCTTTAGAGCACAGAGCTTGTAAAATTTTCTTTTAATCAGTCAAATTCAAATAATGGGTAAAATTTATTGATTATTAATTACGAAATAGGAAAACGTTCGAAGTAAAGAAAAAATCTCATTAAAAAGCAACAGATTTACAAAAGAAAAAATGTGGAAGAAATAAAATAAGAAAAGCTGCAAAAATAACAGCACAGATTTTTCCATGGTCTTTTCATTTTATTATTTTACATTTCCATTTTGTAATGTTGAATTGGTTTGTCTAGCTGTTAGTTATATATTTTGCTTATTATATTTGATTGTTATGTGAAGGATAAGATTTTTCTGAGAGTCAGGAAGTCAAGATCATAATAGGTTTGTCCCTGTTTAATATTACTTCAGTCATAACTTAGTATAAATAGAAAGGATATATAGAAAATACCAGTGTTGGATGACAAGCAAACTATGAATTGCTGTAAAGAGAAATATTATTACTGTCAACCAAATTAGTCATTTTATTTTTATTAAACATCCATTTTTTTAGTAAACTTTATTTTTATTTAAAAATAAGTTCATTTGAATGTAGTAACTCAAGATTTAAAATATAAATTTTCAAAAACATGCAGTCAGTTAATTATGAGAATTGTAAAAGCTTATATGAGTACATATGATTTTCCACAATGGCCTTTTGAAAATCTTTTTTTCAAATATCCCAATTTTGTATTTTTTATACAATTTTCATTACTCTGTCTTAAAATGCTTCATGAGGAACAAGAAACTCTTATAATCTTGTTTTCTAAATACTGTTTTTTACTACTTCTGACATTTTGTTTTTCAGTTCTGTTCCTGGGAGAATCCTCACTTCTCCTCAGTAGTGCTGAGTGAACTATTGTGGCAGGTTGCCTATTCATACACGTACGAACTGCGACCATACCTGGACCTGCTGCTTCACATTTTATTGATGGAGGATTCGTGGCAAAATCACAGAGTTCATAATGCCCTTAAAGGTTAGTTCTGTATTTTGAAAATGTCTTCTAGTTGAACACCTGGATGTAGTAAAATATCAATCACGTGCCTACTTCTTTATACATTCTTTACTTTTCTTCTTACACAGTATTTTGTGCTTACACATCATACAATATAATCACTTGTATTTAACGTACAGAAGTATTACTAATAATTTGAATGTAGGGCGTTGCATGGCCAGGTGGTTAGAGTGCTCGACTCGCAATCCGAGGGTCGCGGGTTCAAATTCCTGTCCCACCAAACATGCTCACCTTTTCAGCCATGGAAGCATTATAATGTGACGGTCAATCCCGCGTTTAAGAGTTGGGAGTGGGTGGTGATGACTAGCTGCCTTCCCTCTTGTCTTTCACTGCTAAATTAGAGATGACTAGCACGGATAGCCCTCATGTAACTTTGTGTGAAATTCAAAAAGCAAACAAACGAACATTTGATTGCCCTAGATATTGAACCATTAAATTGTTAACAATAATCTAGCCATCCCTTGTCTTCTTTCTCCAGTAATGTTTTGAGAAGTTTTGTTATACATTTTCTTGATATTTATTGACATTCTCTTGATAATTGGCTTAATATCAAATGAACTAAATTCTTACAAAATTGCAGCTGCACTGTATTACATCCAAACAGTTTATCTTTATTCAATGATATTCACTTCAGATATTATGCATGTACTCTCTCTCTCTCTCACCTATAAATGATTTGTATCTTTGTATTTTAATTCTGATGAAAATTTTTAACTCACTGGTCTTACACAAGAAGCCAAAATAAAATATTTTGTTTTGATGGCCGATTTGATGTTGTGTTTGCTGATGATTAATTTTATATTTTGCAAATATTAGTCAAAAATTTGAATTTTTTCTTTAATATTTCTTTAATTGTCAATTTGTTTTAGAAAATACTAAATAGTTGAAGTGTGTGAATCTGTGTTAATGATAAAGATTTTGGGACTGTAGCATTTAACAATGTGAAATAGGTATCCCAGATGACAGAGATGGACTGTTTGACACAATTCAAAGAAGTAAGAATCATTACCAGAAGAGGGCATACCAGTGCATCAAATGTTTGGTGACCTTGTTTACCTCTTGTCCAGCAGCTGCACATATGCTGCATAGTAATGGTGACATCAAGAGGAAATGGACAACTGCTGTGGACTGGCTTAATGATGAACTGGAGAGAGTAAATAGCTTTTTGATTTAATTTATAGGGCAAAGTTAAGTTTTTGAAAAGTCTTTAATGAACTTTTTAAAATATGAAATACGTGTTTTTTCTTCTTAATTTTATTTGCATGAAAGTATAATCAAAATGAAGTGGTCAGATATTCCTTATACATTTTAAATTTTTCTTTGTAGTTATTTGGTAATTTTATGTAATAAGTAATCATTTTTAAACAGCTATTTGCCTAAAACAGGAGTAGTTATAAACAGATGAACACTAGCAAAATACTTAATTATTTTAAAACATATTTTTAAATATTATAATTTTTAGCTAAATAAAAATTTTGAATTTGATATACTGAAATTCTTCTAAACTTCTTATTAAATGATAGCTGTCTTAATTAGAAGAACCTTATCTCTCACCAGTATTACTGGAAAAGATTAATTTGATGAGCAAGATCAAACCTCTTTAGTGGTACCCTATTCAGCTTTTCCTGAAATATTGTATTTTGTACATGCACAGCAACTTGCCATTTTAACAAATGTGAACCAGAAGTGCAGGATATGGTCTGCCTTATGAAACATTTGTTTAAATCATTTAAGTATAATAAAGACAAGATTAATACAAACACAGGGAGTTACTTTTCATATCTAATATGTAAGATGTTTTTACAGCGACCATACCCAGCTAACACCCAGTATGGTTACAGCAGCTGGTCGCCACCTGCCCAATCAAATGAAACTTCCAATGGCTACTTCTTGGAGAGGTCCCATAGTGCTCGCGTGACATTAGCTAAAGCTTATGAACTGTGTCCAGAAGAGGTAGGTATAGCTTAAATGATTTTTTTAATACTTTAATTCTTTTCATACCGAGTTTATTCAGGTCAAATACAGTTTTGAATATCAGATATTATGAAGTAAGATGTAGGGAACCTGTTCTTTACTTGACCTGGAATTCAAAGTCAATTTGAGGGGTCCAAATGAAGCAAGTTATGTGGAAGCATGACTTACTTAAATTGTATCATTTGTATTTTAGAACAGTAGATTAACATGTATTGTAAAATAACTTTTCGACAAGATCATCAGTTACTTGACTTGATAATAACTTAATGGATATTTGTTTAAAAGGTTTCTTCTGTGGACACAGAAACACATACAAGATGTATTTTCACAGGATCCCCACGAGTGTTCTGTTTCAAGAGTAAATGAAACCAGAATTTAAGAATAACAAAGGTTTTTTTTCTTGCTTTTGAAGTTCATGTGTCATGCTGTGTTGTAGCCTACAGACTGCATAATTCTTCTCGTGATTCATGGCATGGGCACATTTTACTGGTGTCATAATGGTACAAATTGCAACATTAAGTGTCCCTTATGTGAAGCCATTTTAGTGTCTACTGACCAACAACACATTACTATACAGTGGTGCGAGTGGTTAAAGCAGGTAACCCCTCCAGGCAGCCCTTGGGGAAATAAACCACAGTAATATAAATTTTGTGGTAATGACAGCTAATCATTCATTTTGTTCTTGAATTCTTCACTTCACTCTATGAATATGTACTTCACCCTCCCGAGTCACTTCTCATCATTCCTTTTTTCTTCCTCCTTATTCCTTGGCTATTGTAGTTGCATAACCAAATGTTGGTGTCTACTGCCACTTTCTGGCAACTTTTAAAGCTGTTTTGTGGTTTTAGTGTTGCTTTTGGCTTCATATAGAACCCAGGTATTTATCAAGCTTTTCAGTTTCTAGTGGGTACTAGTATAAAAAGTATTACTTAATGTGTCATTGTATTTTATTCAAAATAGACATCTAATTCTGGATATTACCGATGTGCTATCAGTATTGGTTAAAATTCCTTTATAATTTTTTTCTTTTTTTTATCATAAGTATTAGCAAATTGGGTTTTAGCTAGTCTTGATTACTATAGTTGTTTTATCTTTTTTTAACTTCCTAATTTATACTTCATTGTCCTTCTGGTGTATAATATTTTAAAATTAGTTGTATTTTCAGGAACAGGAAGAGCAAGAATTGTCTGAAGAAGGTGATAGTCCTCCCCCGGAAGAGAAAGTTCCTATATGGCAGGGTGGAATGCAGCATCCTAGTCCACCACCACCAGCACCCCCTGCCAGTATTAACCCATATCCAGTGAACTCTACCCTACCTCATCGTGTAGGTAACTTGTTAATTGGCCCTTCTAGTGGGAGTCAACAACAACAAGTGACCAATTCTCCCTATCATCCAGTGCACACTTGTGGAACGACCCCAGGAGTAGTTACCACTTCAACTGTTTGTAACCAGGGGGTCAACACAAGTATGACTCCAGCTGGACCACCTGTAAGAACCACAACTTCAGTAAATGTGACACTGCAACCTCCCACTACCAACCAGCAACAAACATCTTCACAGGAAGGAAACGAACAGAAACAGGATAGACATGACTAATTCAATATAAATACCAGTTGGCTGTGCATGTAGAGATTGTATGAGGGGCATGCCCTATTATAACAACCGAACATGGGAAGTGTTCCGATTGAGTTCTTGATTAAAAATCAAAAAGTTAAAAGTTGGTCGTATTTCCAGGAAAACAAGAATGTTTACTGTTTGACATTGAGCAGCCATTTCTGAACTTATCTAATTTATTTTTAAAGAAAAATGTGAGCACTTTAAATTCTCCCCTACCATTTGAACTGTGTGGACTCCCCTGAAGATTCAGTGATATCAGCTCACAGACTAGATATTCAACTTAAAATTAGCTTTGCAACGTTACTGCTTCGTTAGCTTTAGCTCACAGCTTGTATGGAATGTAAAAAAAAAAGAATGTTTTTCTCCAAGAGGAGATGTGTATCTTCAAATTAAACTCAACTGTGACTTGAAGTAATGAACTTTTTGATTTTCCACTGGTGCATAAAGTGAGAAATTAGTAGTTATTACTAAATTGTGATTGTCAAATGTATTATACAGTAACTTTTGTAGCCATGTACATTCTTTGTTTGTTTTCAAATACCCAACAACAACTAAAGGCTTACTCGTTAAGCACTTATTCTTGAAATTGGCAGGGCACTTTAAAGTTAATAGTATGTAAAGCATATGAGCATATAATTTATACTAAGTTGTTTTGGTATATATATATATATATACTAAGATACTTTGTATGTGTTGAACCACTCCTGTATGTCTAAGAAGAAATGTGTACATGTTATCCTTGTGCTTTGACCCTGTGTAGACTGTTACAGTTTGGTAGCAAACAAGGCTGCCCTAATCATGCCTAAAAACCTTATACACCAACTTTTTACTATAGGCTAATGTATTTTCTAAAAACAATTGACTTCTCTTGTAAGCTGAAGCTCAGAAAACTTGAATGTAATAAACAGTTTTTTTTTTTGTTGTTCACATCGGTAGAGAAATGTTTGTACTTGATTGAACGGGTTACATATACCCTGTAGCAAACATTTAGCACTACTTTCTTTTGGCTTACTGTTACCTAATGTCATTTGTGTCTAACCTAAGATTAGCTATGAACTTGGATTGTAAATATGTTAAAAGAAGTCTTCATCACACTCATTTTCTTGACAAGTGTTGATCACAGATGTGAATGGCTATTGTCATCAACCAATGAGCATTGCTGTGACGTACCATCATATATTTCTTTATAAAAGTGCATGTCAGTGGCTCATTGAAAGAGAGGGATATTTACCCCCCCCCCCGGGTTCAGGGGGGGGGCAAAGTATCAAACGCCTTGCACAGAATTTAGCTGTTCCCATAAGACTAAGACTCATTAAAAATGTTTGTTATGCTTGACATCAAATATTAGTATATCAACAGAAATATCATATCTAGAGAAATCCCTTAGTTTTCAGTGTTAGGTTGGTTGAAATACCCTGACATTTCATAGTTGATAAGAAATTTAGCAATTTTGTGAATACGGTCGGAGGGGGGGGGGGTGTTTTGCCCGTGCACCAGACACTTTTACTAAGTCACTAGTGAAAGTCTTTAAATGTGCAAACACTTTTTTTTCATGGTAATTTAACAAAGTTTCTATATTTGGCATGTAATGAATTCGTGACACCAGTGTACTTTAAACCAAAAATAATGAAAAATTCAATTCATTGTTCAGTAATAACAGTATCTTGATTCAATTCATTGTTCAGTAATAACAGTATCTTGATTCAATTCATTGTTCAGTAATAACAGTATCTTGATTCAATTCATTGTTCAGTAATAACAGTATCTTGATTCAATTCATTGTTCAGTAATAACAGTATCTTGATTCAATTCATTGTTCAGTAATAACAGTATCTTGATTCAATTCATTGTTCAGTAATAACTGTATTTTGCCTTGAAACGACTATGATAGAATATTATTTGCCTTTAAGAAAAATCAGTCCAGTTTATTCTTCCAAGCGATTACAAAAATATTTTTAATGTAATTTACATTTGCTCAGTTAGTGAATCTAAAAGAAACTGCTTGATGATACATATGATAAAAAAAAGATATTAAATACATTAAGTAGTCGCCAAGCTATGCCTTTATTAGAAAATCCCAGACACCTGCTTCCTATAAATGAAGTTTTAGTGGGTTCTTAACCATGTCTTAAAACGTGTATACTTACAAGTACGTGTCTTCTGGTAGATTGATTAAGGGTGTATGAACGAGTGCTTCTGTTGTTCTTAGTCTTAAGAGTTTAGAAAACTTGAAGCATTGCTATGTGTAATGGTAGCTGATGATAAAAACCATAACGAAATCCAAACATATACAGCCTAATTACGATTTACCTGTATACACATACCTTTGTTCAACATTTGTTTTTACAAGTACTGTAGTTATTGTGACATTCCGTTTGCTCTGTTACTATTTATGATTTTTTTTCTTCCCTTTATATAGTATTTTCTTTAGCAAGTACTTATTTTTTTACTAATTTTGTTCAGGTTAATTCCTAGGTAGCGTTATGAAAATTTTAGAGAAAAAATAAAAATGTTTTAACGGTACGAGACATCTTTCAAAAAGTAACGGACAACAATTTTATCCAGACAGTTTCATTTAAAAAAAAAACAATTCTGTAGCACTCCGATAGGGGGAGTGCAAATTGTTTGCCTTCAAATGTAGTATCAAATCCAGTAAGGTGGTTATGATCATAAATAATATTTTACTTTAAACTGGTACACAATTAAAAATATTTAATTTAGGCCTATCTATGGCCTTCAAAAAGTTGACGACGAAACATGTAGGTTCGTTAACTTTTTGAAGGCTATAGATAGGCCTAAATAAAATGTTTTTAATTGTGTACCAGTTTAAAGTTGAATATTATTTATGATTTTGACTTTATACACAAGTGTCAAAATACTATAATAAAGGTGGCTATGGTTTTAGCAGTACTAGTGTTACAAAATCGAATCTGTTCACACTTCTTTGTATACCAGTAATGTGTCCAGATTTTTTTTTTTTCCGAAGACTGTGCAATCTATTGTATCCAATGGTCTTTGTTTAAAATTACTAGATTATGAATAATAAATGACCTAGGGCTCATTTGTAGTCGTGTATTGTACACGCATATTGTACAGTTATATCTTACTATTTAGGAATTTCCATTATTTACAAAGCAGCATACACAGTTATAATCTTCTAAGGAACAAATTGACAGAAGTAAACGTTAACTTTAGCCGCATAACACTGTGTAACGTGTTCTAAAGAATTCAGTAAGAACGTCGTAAACATGATGTCGAGGTATTCGTTTCAAAAATGGAGGAATGTGATAGGATTTGATGGATACGTAATGATTCTTATAGTCACATAAATATATAAAATATCTGAATAATGATTCTTGGTTTATTTGGGTCGGTAAAGCTAATAAAATATGTAATTGGGGTTAAGGGAATGAACTTTCTTTTGTTTGCTTCAACTGACAGAAGTCGCGATACATAAATGTTAAATATTTTTTTAAATGCGAGAGCGGATAACATGATTGGTCATAAGGGAGCATTTTGACATGTTTCGCGAATCAAGGATTACAAATGTGTTAGATAAATAGTGCCAAGGGAAAATATAAATTTCACGGGTTATTGCCTTTATAAATATAAAAATTTATGGCGTTGTAGGAAGCGTTGCAAGATTTTATCTGTAGTGATATTTAAGGGTTTAACGATGGACGCTACGTATTCTGATCATCGCAACAGCAACTGTTTGGTAAAAATGAAAAAGGGGAGTTAGGTAACTATCTTGGGTGCTAGTTAGACTGCCAAGTTTCTGTTACAAATATATTACTTCGTTCTGAAAGGTACTTATTGTAAATCTTAATTGAGCAGTAACATTTGTATAAGATTTACGGTTGAAACAGTTGTATAACTAAGACTGTAAAATCAATGGTTTTGTCAGGAACTTGTGTACACATAATCAGAAAATCGAAGCAACCAATGATCTGTATTTGAGTGATAAATGTCGGAAATCACACTGGACACTAGGCTTTAATGAGTTGTGCGCATATCGTATTTACATTGTTAATCCGATGCAATGTATAGAAGGTGGACGTAGCCTAGTGGTTAGTGTGCCGAACTGTGAATCCATGTTTCGCGTTTGCCCAAAGTTGTGCTGCGTATGTAGTTTCAGGCCGTTGGTTACGGTCAAGTCCCACTAGTTTATCAAAGCAGCTCAAGAGTTGGTGATAGGTACAGTTAACTAGTCGCTTTACTTCAGACTACCACGAACAGCTAATAGAGATAGCACTTGCGAAGCTTCGCATGAATATCCAAATAAAAGTACAAATGAAAAGTAAGGTAACTTATTCTGGCTGTGACCTGTTTATCTTGTAGCACTATTGTGTCTACCGCTGCTTGTTGTATGAGGCGTGTATCTCGTGGCAGTATAGTGTCTACCGCTGCTTGTTGTATGAGGCGTGTATCTCGTGGCAGTATAGTGTCTACCGCTGCTTGTTGTATGAGGCGTGTATCTCGTGGCAGTATAGTGTCTACCGCTGTTTGTTGTATGAGGCGTGTATCTTGTGGCAGTATAGTGTCTACCGCTGCTTGTTGTATTTTCCATTCATGGTTTCCACGGGTCAGGGAATCTGGTAAAAGTCCGTGAATTTTATATTTCATGTTCCCGTCCCGGAAAAGATCAATAAATATCATTCTTTTGACAAAATTAGGAAAACTCATTTAATTTCATGTGATGCTGCTAGGACACGGATGGGGAAAAAAATATGTTAGCATCAGCACCAAAAACAATCGCATACAGTTTAATTCTGGTGCATTTAGCACGCCATTAAACATATTTTATGCATAAAAAATTGATTTGCCTACATCGACGTTTATGTTTACCATTAACTGTTATGCAATATGAAGGCAATTTTAATACAATAGCTTAATTCCCATCTAAACGGTGTGTAAGTGCTCGGACAATAGGGGCGCTAGATTTCTGTTTAAACTTTAAAAAAAAGTATTAAACGTTATTATATCAATTAAAAAACATTGAGAGAGTACTGTTACTTTCTTGAACAAATAACTATATATATATATAAAGAGTGAAATAAAATGAAAAATAATTGCATCTGGGATACGATGATGGCCTATTTTGATTAAACAGCGAACATTAATCACGTTATTACAGAAATAGTGCGCTAGCACTACTAGTACGCGTTTGCTTAATTGTTCGTCTGGAACCCCACTCTCCGTAGTAGATCCAGCAAAGTGGTTTAACATTGTTCCTATACTGCTCGTGTAACAGTGCCATACGTATTTTTGATAACGTACTGTGCGACATGTATATTCGGTGCTTTGTGCGAATACATCCCCCACGGTACGGCCCTACCCAGTAACTAAGCTTTGCAGAGTACAATCTTCTTTTCACTTTCGGGTCTCTCTTGGTATCAAAATATACCTGAAGAGCGGTTAACTCACTTCAAGCTCCCGAAGACGACATTATTACAGCCTGCTGTGTTTCACATCAGTTTGTTGTAGCTCTACAGTCAACACAGTGGGAGATTACGTTGGTGACGAGTCAAAAATAGTTCCAATTTAAAGCAATTGAATTATCATTTCTGACATTAATTTCTATTATTGGAAAACTCAACAATTTTTTTAATTAATTTAAATAGATATATTTGTGTATATATATATATATATATATATATATATAATGTA